AACAGGAGCGCTTCACAAAAATGAACCGAAACTCAGCGAATACATGCCTCACAGACATGATAAATATATCTATAGAAAGCTTTAAATTACTACTTAATGAAATAAAACAAATCAAAAACAAAAACTCTTTCATTATAATCATAATCCGTAAAGATGCACTTCTCTAAAGGCTCGTCTAATGAAGAAGTGGCGAGTTAGGATCGACAATTTCATCTTTGCGACACGGACTCAGAAAACACTATTTATTAGTAAATAATTCAAATATCTCCATCCTCTTTCCCCCTGACACATTTACGGTAATTACTTTCGCCGATGCTGTGCGGCAAGCTTAAGCCTATTGCGTGCATTTGAACGCAGATCTCTTCGCTGCTGCGGGACACTAAACACCGTCGAGCCACTCTTGACAGTCGCGACAGCACGGTCTCGTGTTGTTTCCACCAGCGCGGCAATTTTTTCATCACTAATTGATGGATGTCTAAAATATAAAAATAAGGAGAAGCCTAAAACAGGCACGAGGCCCGGCCCGCGTCTGAACTATGACGTGAAAATTGACCCGAAGCCCGGCCCAAGGGGCGTAAAAAAGTCGGGGCCCGTTGGGCCCGGGCTGAAATGCAGGGCTCTAAAAAGGGGAGTGCCTAGGGAGTGAGGGGTGCCTCATGGCTCAGTTCTTGGACCACTTCTCTTCTCTGTCTACATGGCATCACTAGGTTCTGTCATTCAGAAACATGGCTTTTCATATCACTGCTATGCTGATGACGCTCAACTCTACCTCTCGTTCCATCCTGAGGATCCGACGATAGCTGCTCGCATCTCAGCTTGTCTAACAGACATTTCTTGCTAGATGAAGGACCATCACCTTCAACTCAACCTTGCCAAGATAGAACTGCTTGTGGTTACATCAAACCCATCGTATCATCACAATTTCGCCATCCAGTTAGGCACATCAACCATAACTCCTTCAAAAACAGCCAGAAGTCTTGGAGTTATGATTGATGATTAGCTGACTTTTTCAGACCACATTGCTAAAACTGCCCGCAGATTTGCTTTATTCAACATCAAGAAGATCAGTCCTTTTCTTTCGGAACATGCTTCACAACTCCTTGTTCAAGCTCTTGTTCTGTCCAGGCTGAACTATTGCAATGCTATCTTGGCAGGTCTTCCAGCCAGTTATATCAAACCTTTACTATTAATCCAAAACATCTTTATTTGACCCTCTAACTCTAGCACTCTCTATTTTAATTCTATTCTTAAAAAAATTTTTTTTAAAAACTTAGACTTGCACTAATTCATTTACTAACTGCTCCCCCATCACCATACTTGGCCACATGTCACGTCACTTTCACTTTTTCACTTTCTTTTCAACTGCTTATTTTCTTTTAAAAAAAAGCTTGCTGTATTCTTTTTCTATTCTATCGGTTTTCTTTTTATTTATTATATAATAAAAAAAAACCTTGCTACGTGTACTACGTTAAGCGAACTGAGACTTGTTATAGCACTTGCATATCATTGCTCTCTTTTTTATTTTGATTGCTTCCATTGTCCTCATTTGTAAGTCGCTTTGGATAA